CACCAATTATATTGCAAGCCAGCTGCTGAAATTACCTGCTATAACCTTAAGACAAGTTTTACCTAGTAGCTGCTGAAACGAACTGCTGTGACTTATATGAGACTAATTTTACCTACTGCTATCGTTCACCAATCAGATCTTGCAGCTCCCCAAAACTTGCCTAGTGGCAATGAGTTTTCTTTCAAAACAACATGTAACATTTCTCTTTCTAATAAAACCCCCAACAACTTTCTCTTTGTTCTTTGGACATACTTAAGACAACTGCAGTCTGTGTATATGTCCCGAAGTGCAAATCTGTTTCCCAAAATAATATGTTTAGAGATTCAGCTCTATATTTTTATTTGATTTTGTCAAAATAGGTTGTACCAATTTACATTCCCACCAACAGTGTACAGAGGGTTCCCTTTTCTCCACACTCCCTCCAACACTTATCTTTCATCTCTTTTGATAAAAGCCATTCTATTAGATGTGAAGTGATATCTCATTGTGGTCTTATTTTACACTTCCCTGATGACAACTGATGTTGGGCACTTTCCTATATACCTGTTGGCCATTTGTATGTCTTTTTATTTGTTTTTTAGAGGTAGGGTTTCACTCTGTCACCCAGGCTGGAAAGCAGTGGCACGATCATAGCTCACTGTAACCTCGAATTCCTGGGCTCATGTGATCCTCCCACCTGAGCCTCCCCAGTAGCTAAGGCTACAGGTATGTGCCACCATACCCAGTCAGTTTTTGTTCGTTAATTTTTTGTAAAGACTCTCACTATGTTGTCCAGTCTGGTCTCAAACTCCTGACCTCAAGCTATTCTTCCACCTCAGCCTCCCAAAGTGCTGGAATTATAGGCATGAGCCACTGCACCAGGCCGGGAAATCCTCTTATTTGGGTAATTTTTCCATTCTATTTTTTCCTTCCTCTTTCTGAGATTCCTATGAAGTCTCCTAGACTGGTCTTTTATGCATCTTATTACCAGTCTTTCTTTTGCTTTCCCTTCTGGGAGACTTTCCTTAACTCTATTCTTCTGTCCAATTACTAAATTTTACACTGTTGCAATTATTTTTTCTCTGTTCCTTTTTCACAGCATTCCCTTCTTAGTTTTATGCAAATAATATTTTCTTAAACCTGAGTATATCAGAGTATATCACACATTTCTCCCCATTCCTTGAATAACCCATTTCTCTGGGGTCAGTTAACTCATTAATATTGGTCTTTTTTCTTTCATGCTATTGGTTCTACTCAGACATCTAACTCTTATTTCAGAAAAGACTGGGTAAGTTGGTATGCATTTCCTCTGCTTTCCAGCTCAGTCTCTTTCCTGCATCAAAGTTTCTACCTAGGAACTCTGGACAGAGCAGAGTACGGCAGGGCAGAATGGGAAGTGTCAATTGTCAGGCTTTGCTTTAGGGCAAGAGCTGGCTGTCAACACTGTGGGACTTTCCAAATGCCAGGATGAGGGCTTTAACCTAGATAACAACATCTGTTCTGAGCATCAGGGTGGGAGGGGGGTGGCATGCCAACTGGTGCAAACTGTCCCATATATAGGACTTCAATTAATCTCTCTGTTTTTCAGTACCACTTCTCACTCTCACCATCCATCGTACCTGCCAATCCTGGGCCTGGGGTCTCTTGAGATTCCCATAAGCAGGCTGGTTCCCAGCTCCTCTCTAGCTCTCTCCTAGCACATCCGAGCTGTAAATCTTTCCACCTCTTTTATCTGTCAACATGCTCCCATCTGCTTCATCTTCTAGAAATTCACTGAGGGCTGTCGTCATCTGTTGCTTAATACCCCTCCGCATTCCCTTCGTCTCCTCATTGCTATTCTATGTCTGTTCCTTTTATTACATAAATTATAGTAATTCGGCAGAGTCCTGGGAGGGGCTGGAGCAACTTAATGCTCAAACCTTCTTGAATTTCCTGGCCATTTATTAAGAAATAGGAATACAATCTTTTTAATAGTTTTTTTTTTTTAAATACATGAAGTCAATTTCTAATGCAATAATGTAAGTTGTATACATATTTAAAAACGTGTAGTTTTTCAGAAAGCAGATCTTCCATTTTATCAAGAGTAAAAAAAGACAGACTAAAAAAAAGAAATACATCAGGAAAATACCCAGTTTCTTCTGGATTTAATGATTCAAGGATATCAGTGCCATTCAACCAAACAAAGCGGTCAAAGGGGTGGGAAGTTTATGGAATGTTTTGGGTGGTATGTGGGGGGTGCTGAAATTGGTAAGTTTAGTTTTGGAAATGTCGACTTTGAAGGGCTTACAGGATGGTTTAAGAAGAGATGTCTAACAGGTAGCTGAACATATATTTACAGGTCAGGAAGATTTGGTCTCCAAATTTGGTCACTAGCCACGCTGCATATGAAATCACCCAGAAAATAAACAATTTAGGAGGGCAAAGAGTAGAATTCTGGGGAACACACACATTTAAGGATGAGGGGAAGAATATAAACCTTTAACAGCGACTATAAAGGAGTATTCAATTACGTCAGATGTTCCTGAGATGTCAAGTGAGAACAGGATTGAACAGTATGCATTGGATTTTAGTAACAAAGTTACTAAACACCTGGGAACATAATTAAAGTGAAGTGGCAAAGTAGAGAGAAATCAGGCCAGACTTCAGATAGCATCTGAAACAATGAATGTGTAGTAGCACCACCCCCACACCTGTCGGTGTCCCCACTGGTGATGTTAGATGGGATAGAGTGGAAATTTTGCGGGATGGATGATCTGGAATGAGAGGGCTACGGAGCTAACAAGAGTTGTTGAAAACATTAAATGCAGTCCAAGATGAAGAACGAAGTGTGAACCTAAGGGGTATCTGAAAGCTTGAGAGTGTAAACAGAGGGCTGGAGGATTAGTATTAGTGCAGAACCCATACATGAGTAAGGGGGTGAGCGGGCTGGATGGACAGGAGGGTGGGATCAGAGAACGAGCTATATACGTGTGCACAAATACAAGTGGGAAGGTGTTAGGTAGGAACAAGTTGTAGAAATGGCAGAGGGAGTGAGCAGGTGGCTTCAGCTCACTTTAGTGAAGAGGGAAAGCAACTGGGTTAAGGTGGTAGACTGGCCATAACCACACGGATGGTGATGGCACCTGAGATGACCAGAAGTAGTAAGGAAGACTGAAAGCTGGTTTCCAAAATTTTCTTAAATGTAGGCAAGTTAATTCAGCAACCAGAAGAGAAGTTCAACAAATAGCAGATGGCACACTCATCCATGTCTAAAATATCAGAGGATTCCCAATAGGTTGAACATTAGATTAGATTCAAAGATGAGAATCAACTTCCCATTTGAGTGTCCATTATTTACTGTGCAGGACACATGCAACACAAACATGAAGAAGACACAGAAGATGTCCTGTAGGTAATTAACAGCTGAGTGTATAACCTCTATGGATCACTCTACTCTAGGATAAGATGGTTTTAATAATCTTGGTCCAATGTTAACTGGAAACCATTTTGTTTCTATATTTTCCTAATCATAAAGAAATATATCACTTCTACTCTTCATTGTATATTTAAACATCCACTTACCTGATTCTTTTTAGGTCTGTGTGTGCACTTGGTTTCTTGAGACTTCCTTCTATTAATTTTCTTTTCTTTACAAGGCTGTGCTTCTGTATTAAATAAGCTGCAAACACTCTCTTCTGCAAAATTGATCAATTGCTATAAAGAAAACTTAAAGTAAGGATACTATAAAGCACAAGCAGTTGCATTTTAATGTACAGCTCTCACTTTTTTCTTCCCATGATGCTTCTACCATTTTACATCCCAATTCTTATTAATTTTCAAATTCCATCAGAAGCATTTTAACTAAAACTCAAATGGAGGAAATAAATGACCAACTACTGATCTTTCAAACATAGATCCAGAAGCATACATACACTACCCAATCATATTAGGGAAAAAATTATGTGTTATATTAAGAAACAGCATAACAATTAGGTGATTTATTCATTCATCAAATATTAAGCAACTACAACTTAGCACCTAACTGCTATTGGGTTACAGGAAAAAAAAAAAACCCATGAACTTTTAGATTTTTTATGTTTGAATTCTGGGTTTATCATCCAACCATATCAGCTAAAAACATTATGATTTCAATTATAACAGCATAATATATGTTTATACACTATGATGTTATGGATAAAAATCCAATTTTATCTAATTTAATAAAATAGCAAAAGACACAAGCATTCAATGGATATTAAAATCCAGTGTTAAAAACAAACCAAAGCACAATTTAGAAAAGTTATATTTATGTCATGTCTGGTTCTTTTAACTACATGCCACTCTTCTTCATTTTCACCTCAATGAAATTCATAAAATCACATGGACCCCAAACAAACTTTTCAAACAGATTACGTTCCACATTAATGCAACTCTGAAAGCACTTTATTTTATTGGATTTTATTTCTAAGAGAATTAATTAAAATCAAATCAGGAAAACATCACCCTTGGTTACAGGCTAGGTAAGATATTAGTTTTTAATGACATCAATCAAGCCAAGATTTTATCCATTAGCATGTGATCATGAAAATAGTAAAAGTATATGGCAAGATTTAAAAACAAACACATTGTGTTAAATACAAATACTTACATTTATTTTGTTAGAAGTCCGCGTTACTCTACCAACTTTACAAGAGGATATTTTCTCGTGGTTCTTTGAAGGACTTAAGGTATCCATGCCTGATAAGCAAGACATAAGCAGAATTAGGGTAGCGAAAACACAAAATTATAACATGCATCACCTTTTGGACATATTGGATAATCTTTTGTACACCCACCTTTGCTTTTAATATCATATCTAAACATGAACAATTAATTACTAAGAGGAATAAATTTTGAAACCCATTTTTTTTAAACTGTAGGTTTACTGAATGCTCAGAAACTTTCATCATTTTGCCTAGTGACTGCTTAACATATTTTCATGTTGGGACAGCAGATTAAATCATATTACAATAAATGTATGTATTTTTGTGAATGTCCAATTATTCCTAGCTACATTTTGCACAAAGAAATCGCAAGGAAGGGCATTAAGATAACCATGAAGGCCGGGCGTGGTGGCTCACGCCTGTAAACCTAGCACTCTGGGAGGCCGAGGCGGGCGGATTGTTTGAACTCAGGAGTTCGAGAACAGCCTGAGCAAGAGCAAGACCCAGTCTCTACTAAAATTAGAAAGAAATTAATTGGACAACTAAAAATATATAGAAAAAATTAGCCAGGCATGGTGGCACATGCCTGTAGTCCCAGCTACTCGGGAGGCTGAGGCAGAGGGATCAAAAGAGATAACCACATTTTTTAAAAAAGGAGGCTGACGCCACAGCACTCACTCTAGCCAGGGCCACAAAAGCGAGACTCTGTCTCAAAAAAAAAAAAAAAAGAGATAACCATGAAAATTCTTTATTTAATTTTACAAAGTTTAAGAAAATTTTACTTTGATCAGTTTTAATAGTATAAATGAAAGGCAGTAATGTGCTTAAGAGCATAAGCTTTGAAATGTGATAGACTATAGTTCACATTTTAGCTCTAACTTAATAATGCATGCCTTGGATTCTGTGCTAGTGAGCTTGGTTTGTGTCCACAAGAAGCCATTAAAAGATTCTGACCAGGGAAAACACACGAATAAAGGTTCCCATCCTAAGTGCCCACCCCATGACATTTGTCAGCCAAGTCCTGGTTTGTCAGAAAAGCTGGGAAAGATCTTTGTTGCTTTCGTGATCATAAAAAATCCAGACCTTATAATGTATATGTGATAAAGATACCATATTAACATATATGGAAAATTTTGGACATTTAAGAATGACCCTTATAATCTAGATCACTGCAATTGTGCAAACTGTTAATGGAAACTTACTGTTGATACGTAAGAGTTGAGAGGCCAACTCCACTGCTTAAAGCAACCTGAAGAATGAGGGTACTTGTCTAAGCAAGTTAAATGTGAATGATTATAAAGTATAGGACTTGGAATAGAAAGCGATGGACAGGCTGGGCACGGTGGCTCAGGTCTCTAATCCCAGCTTCTTGGGAGGCTAAGGCAGAAGGATCCTTTGAGCCCAGGAGTTGGAGGCTGCAGTGAGCTATGATGATGCCACTGAACTCTACCCAGGGTGACAGAACTAGACCCTGTCTTAAAAAAAAAAGAAAGGGATAGATAAACCTTTTTTTTTTTTTGAGACAGTCTCTTGCTCTGTCACCTGGGCTAGAAGTGCAGTGACATCATCATAGCTCACTGTAGCCTAAAACTCTTGGGCTCAAGTGATCCTCCCGCCTCAGCCTCACAGTAGCTGGGACTATAGGCATGCATCACCATGTCTGCTAATTTTTTCTGTTTTTAGTAGAGACAGGGTCTTGCTCTTGCTAAGGCTGGTCTCAAACTCCTGACCTCAAGCAATCCTCCTGCCTCAGCCTCCCAGAGTGCTAGGATTACAGGCGTGAGCCATTGTGCCTGGCCAGTAAACAACTTACAAGCTTTTCTGTACTGTAAGGCTTTTTCTTTTTTCCATTTTATTTTATCTTATTATTTGAGATGGGGTGTCACTATGTTGCCCAGGCTGCAGTGCAGAGACATGATCAAAGCTCACTACAGCCTTGAACTGTTGAGCTCAAACAATCCTCCCGATTCAGCCTCCTGAGTAGCATGTGCCACCACACTGGGTAGCTTTTTTCATTTTTTGAGAGATGGGATCTTACTATGTTGTCCAGGGTAGTCTTTAACTCCTGGCCTCAAGCGATGCTCCTGCCTCAGCCCCTGAGTTGCTGGGATTCCAGGTGTGAGCCACCATACCCAGCTCTATTAGGTTTTTTAAACCAAGTATATGTTAATATAACAAATACAGAAATCTTTAAAGAAAATAAAAAGATTAAGTTTCACATATATGCACTTTGAAAACAACAGTTATGATAAGATAAATAAAAGTTACTACCTGAAAGAGTCTCAGAGATTGAAGACTTATTATTAGAAGGACTCAGAACTGCAAATGATACCTGAAGTGGTTCTATGTTTTCCTAAACAAAGGAAAAAAAGAGTAGAACTTAGATATCACTAAATTCAGTGAATATATAATGTGTCTGAAAGAGAAATGATAATTTATTTTGGTAGGAGGGAACTATAATAAGCATAAAGATGGACAGTCTATAAAAGATTAAAAAAAGTCAATGCAAAACAAAGATATCTGACATAAAAATATATATACTTTATATATATTTACTAATCATCTTTATAATGAAACCATGTTTATTAACTGCAATTCACCAAACTAAAAAATAAAATTTTAAGTGAAAGTAGCCATAATAATCCACTGATAAGTTACTATTTGGTTTGTTTATTTAAAACATTCTAACTCCCATAAAGTGAATACGAAAATTCATTAAAAAACACAATCTTGGCCGGGCGCAGTGGCTCACGCCTGTAATCCTAGCACTCTGGGAGGCCGAGGCGGGTGGATTGTTTGAGCTCAGCAGTTCGAAACCAGCCTGAGCAAGAGCGAGAC